CTCATCCTGTCGTCCATTACCTCTGGAAGCTTACTGATCTGAGTAAATATGTTTTCATGGTCACATATCACATATTACTGATCTGCTGAACTTTTACTTTTCAAAGCTGAGCGGCTGGAATTCTAGTGCATATTGTGCTAGAAGCGGATGCAAAGCCCATTGTTTTATGATAGTAAGTGTTATAAATTATTATTATTATTATTAAACATGCATATCACGAAACTGAGATGTCAGTCAAGTTCAAGGTTTATAGCACAATATACTGTACAAATAAGGCCTTCAATTTCTCTGTAAAAATCTTGAAGTAGTTTGAGAATTACTAAGGACTTCCAGCAAGTGCTTTCTTGATTTCTTCTTTCAAATGTAGGTTTGGATTATTCTTTGGTCTGACTGATGAAAATTTACCAAACATTCTGTTACCTATTTGATTGGTTTTGTTTTCATAGGAAATCAAACTGTTTGAGCTCAGAATTAAAAAGCCAAAAATCTAAAGGATTGTCTCACGCTACTTTAGAATATATATTTTGACTTGTGGAGTATGTAATCCTATATGCAACATGAAGTTGTATTATACTATTAAAAGTAACATTTTAACTAAATATTACAAATTACACATTCACCTTACTGAAATTACACGTTAACAAAATCTTTGTCAAAATGTTTTGACTTGGAGTAAACCTTTTCAGAAAGAAACAGTTCTGCCAAAAATATAATCATTTGCAGTTTGGTTTCTGTTAAATAAATATACAATAAACACAGAGACCAAATCTACGTGGGAGAATAGCTAAAGGAAATCTAAGTCAAAGAGATGTAATTGCTGTTTAGTTCTGATTGTGGTTAGTGTTTACTTTTAGGTCATTTGTCAGATGCTTTCATAATCTTAATTCAGCTTCAGGGCAAGACCCATCCACTGTTGATGTGAGTCTTCCCTGTTCCATCGACAGCTTGACTTTTCCAGGGGAGAAGAGCTGCCCTGTGAGGGCATTGTCACAGAAGGAATGGCATACAGCTTTGTAACCCAAACTCCAAAGTGCTTTGCCCATGACTCTGGTTTTGGGCTTTGGTTCAGGGAGGTGCTGAAACATATGCATTTAAGCCTTCAAGTAGTTCTGATAATCTGCTATTCGCTGGTCCATGACAGGCATTCAATTAATTGCCTTGCCCAATAGAGGCTTCGTTGGGGGATATACATGGTATGGGTCCCTGATGAATAAACACATGAATTAGCAGAGCCTAGGTTATCTGTAACCTTCTTGGGAGATGAAACCCTTTTTTTTTTTTTTTTTTAATGAGGAACTGTCATAAATATCTAGAGAATATGAGGCACTAATCTTTCTGTGGTGCTTTCAGAAGAGCAACGCTGATTATTTTCTATGAACTTTACTTCTATGCGGCTTCCAAAACACAGCAATTAAATGAATTTTAGCAATTTTTAACAAAATAATTTAAATGCTAAGGAATGATTTTTCCAGCCTGCAGAATTTACTCTGCACCACTTAGTTGAGTTTACTTACAGTGCTAAAAGTATTGCCTTGTGAAGCTACAGATCCTGCCTTCTTTGTCAGCAGCTTCCTTGTGAAAGGAATCGATGGATTCAGTTTACTTTCTGAGGGATGTGAGCCCTAATCACAAAAGTCACTGGCACATCTGGAGCTCCTTTTGTAGGAAAAATGCTTTGGGTTTGCCAAAACTGAGTGGCTCTGTGACACTAATGGTCACCCTCCCATTCTGGTGTCATCCCTGGTGTCTCTGATGCATATGGAAGAGCAACCTTCACGGGCAGTAACTAGACTGCCTTGTGAGAAATCAAAACAGGTAGGAAAACCCTATGAATCAGCTCAGAGAACATCACACACGACCCAGAAAATTGCTTTTATAGTCATGACAAAAATAAATGCTGATCTCTTAAAAAGAAAACTATACACAGAAGAAATAATAGCCTGCCTAAGTAATGTATGTTCTTTGCCATAATTAGTATCTTACATTATTAGGAGAGACATCTCACCTGGATGACAGAAACAGATCAGACAGTGATCTTGAAAAGATTTATCCTGAAAAAATACACTTAATATGCTTCCTTGTCTGTTAACTTTATGTAGAAACAGCTGTGTAGATTCATTAGCAAAGGGGCTGAAGAGTGCTATAAATCACTTGACTTGCAGAAATAATGTAGCTTTCCTTTCACTTAACACTGCTTGGGGATACAGATGCTTTCTGCAAATTTGAATCCTTCGTAATATTTATTGAAAAACAGAACACTTGATTTTCTACATAGCAAAATATATATGAACCACTTGGCTTAGTAAGCTAGCAGGTACAAATCACTCCTTTGAAAACACATTTGTTGCTATTAATCTTGCTCCTGATCCTCTTTCATACTGAAATAATCTTACCGACATCAGTATCGCTCCTGATTTACAACAGCGTAAGTAAGGAGTTAATCTCACTTTATTGTTTCTGTTATATTGCAATAAACGAAAATACAGATTGGCTTGAAATCATGGAACCATGAAATCATGGAGATTTTGCTACTGAGTTTATTAGGGTTGGATTTCACCCAATGTGCTATTAAACCTGTAAGCATAAACCACAGTCACAATTGCTGAATTACATTTGACAGCAATTTAAAATTATTTTTCCCACTTACTACGTGTGCAGTATCGTTCTCGTGGAAGTCGATGAGCATTTAAAAAGCATAGCGATGGGGCTGGGTTTTCACCTAGATTAAGTGTTCCCAGACTGCAGGGCAAGTGCCACCAGGAATAGGCAAGCCCTTTCAAAGTGGACTGCGTCAAACACAACCAGCTGAGTATTTTGCTGAAGAAACAGAAACGGTGCTTCAGCTGGCAAACCTCTTCTTTTGTACCTGTGTATAGCCCAGCACTGCCGTGCCGCCGCGGCTGCCTTCACTCTGGCGGAGCTTGACTCCTCCTCATGCACACGGCATGGTGACACGTGCTGTTGCTGCTGCCACAACAGCAGTCAAACACAACTCTCAGGTCCACTGAAGGGCCTCGTCAGCAAGATTCAAGCATCCCAGATCTAGATGGACAGGCGAAAGGGACAAGGTTTCCCCCTTCAGATATGGTTATTAAATGAAAAGGAAATGAGAAACATTTTAAGCAAATCATTTTTCTGCTGATCCTATGCATCTCAGTAATTATCTCGGTTACGGTGTATCGATTCCAACGTGCGCCTGCTCTCACTTGAATCAATAGTGAAATTTCAATTGCTGCAGTTAAAGCAGGGCTGGGTCATAAGGAGTAATACTGAATTGTGTGTCTGAGTAGTGCTTGCAATGCAATATACATACAAGCTACAACAAATGTTATTCTTGTATGAGCTCAGGACCATCATAAAAAATCCCAAAATGAAGAAGTGAAAAACATCTGAAGATCAAGCAAGGTTAGAGTGCTTCAAATTTCATGGGCTGGCTCCAGGGATTGTCCTCATTTCCAGCAAAGGAAGAATCTCTAAAACCAAAATGAACTTTTGAACCTGTATCCAGTGTTTGTTAAAAACCTTGAGCTGTGTTGAAAATCTGACAGCCTAAAGTGTGTGAGTCACGACTTTGAAAACCTGTTAGAGATAACTGCGTAGAAGATAGGCTGAAGACAAGGCACAGCGTGATACTCCTGCGTGTCTGGCTATAAATCAAATAGTGAGGGGTGCAGAGTTTTCAATGTAGCTCAGTCTGGGGAGACGCCACCACGCTGCCCTCTTTGAAGGTGGCTTTATGTAACTTCACATCCAGCGACCCATTCAGATGCCCTCCCTCTATGTTACCACTGACATCAGCAGAGGCAGAAAAATTTTTGACACTTGCCCAAGGTCAGGCCTTGAAAATTTATTTCAGCCCAGAAAATTTCAGGGCTTCTGTACTGGTTGCCCTGCACCTGAAGGCGGCCAGGCTCTCTCAAGTGCTAAACCAAGTTAAGTGTAAAATCGTATGACTGCATTGAACTTTTCCTCACCTTTGATGAGCAATTCTGAGGGGTCTCAAGAGTTCAGAGGGAAGTTAAAAGCTGTTCAGTTACTTGACATTACATACTCCCTCGAGGCTGAGCAGCACGGATGGGAGGAAAAAAACTCGCTTCCAAAACGTAAGCAGTAGCCCAAGTTCCGAGTTGGCGTGGGACCAACACGCTGCAGGAAAACACCATGCGCTGGGAAAGCTGAACCTGAGCCGCAGCAGCAGCACGGGCCAAGCCGGGCAACCTTAGCAAGCGCCACATGCAAGGTGCAATGCTCGGCGGGGACAACTCGGTCCGCTCGGCATTAAAAAAACGCTCCCCGTTGTCGCCTGGTGGTGGGAGAACATCTGCGGTCTGCGCCCGAACGCTGACTTTGCGAAGGGCCTAGGAGCGCCCAGGGGGCCGGGGGCTCCCCGCCGCCGGGCAGGCTCTCCGCGGGGCCGGGACCACCCGGCG